TCAAAACAGTGTAGGGTGGTCATGACTTGAGAATTGAGGCCAATGGGAGTTTTGGGCGTGTGAGAATTTGGTTGGGTTTGCAGACCCACCCATATTTGTCTGGGCATGTTCAGTTAACTTGTGTAGCTAGCTACGTTCTATATACGTAGACACATTGAAAAGGAAGAACCGAAAGCTTGAAAAAGATGAATGGAGAACATGAAAAGATAGAAAGAAAATGAAGTGATCAATTAGAAAGATCGATGGCGATAATTCAAATCATAATTACAGTCAATCGGCTGCTAATAGCAACGAAACTGCAAGAGGATCTTCTTTAAGCCATTAGTCAATAAATAGAGAATACGTGCCAACATATGTACCTAAAAAAAAATATATTCAAAGAACTATGAGAATACTTGCGAATAATGTTATTTCTACAATATATAAATATCACATTGCGGATCGATCATCTTTCTTTCTCTATTTGTCAAAGGTGGGAAGGGAGAGAGATTTACACACACACTAATGCTTGGGGCTTTTGAACTCTGAGACCACTGATCTTAGGTCAAACATACTTTTCCACTATGGTATGACCCCATTGATTGAGATGAATCTCACATCTACTCAATTAGAGAAATGATATCAGTAAATGTGATCCAATATTAATTAGCGTTGTTCCCATGCATATTTTCTTTGATTTGTAAGAGCATCCACAATCATGCTCCTTATTTTTTAGTTAAAATTTAGCTAAAAACATTAGAAATATATTTTAGGAGCTCCTTATAAAATTTATGCCATACAAGTCCAAGTGGAAAAAATAATGCTTATGGTGAAGAAGTTTTCTTAGGAATTTCTATTAAACATATAAGGGTTTTGCAAATTTAAATAATGCAAAAAGTCAATTTTCATCCCTCTAGTTTGACGAAATTTTCACTTTCATCTATGTAGTTTTAATTTTGGCAATTTGACTCTTGTAGTTTGATTTTATTGCAATTTAAATACACGTCCAAATTTCGATTCAATTTCTTGACGGAATAAACACCATGTGTCTTACGTGGAGGGGTATTTTGGATGGAAATTTGGATGTATCCTTGAATTGCGATAGAATTAAACAACATGGATTAAACTGAAAATATTAAAACTATAAGGACCAAAATGAAAAAACTGGAAAACTACAAGAACCAAAAATAATTTTTTTAATTTAAATAAACAAGTCTAAACAACTACCCTAACGATAAATGGAAATTTAATTCTAAAGAAGCACTTCATGAAGCCTCCTGCAATTTGATTGATTGGGTCATTTCTTTGTTACACGCAAAAGAAGAAAACTTACATTTACAAAACAATCAACACAAAGTTACTTTAAACTTTCAAATCAGTGATGTTAGTAGATAATATTCGAATTGTATATGAACGTAGATGGAGAATGAAATCAAACTCGAGTGAAGGGAGAATACTGTCATTGCTAGCTAGCCTAACCCATATTTTTCAGTCTTAACAGTTTTTCTTTGTTTTCTTTTTTTGGTCCCTAGGAGTCTTAGCAGTTTAAGCTCTAGAATTTGTGGACAACCAAAATAAGCTATACTTACTATTAACCATTCTCATAAATGTAAATTGTCTACAATGAATATGAATATGATCTATATTTGTTTTCATGTCTTCATATGTCATTTATATATGTGTGTCATGGATTTTATTTGATTTTCTTATTCTATCTAAAATCAACTTTTGATACTCTTTCATTATTTTTAGGTTGCTAGAATTTGGGTTGTACTTACTAAGATATTAAATTTGTGATGTTGAAATTTAATCATTATAATGAATTCTTATATATATTTTCCCATGAAAACTAAGTTCATTGTAATTTAAAGAAGTTCATTGTAATTTAAAGTTGATCCTCCTTGATAGAATTCCTAGCTCTGCCATTGGTGCCAATCATCCAATCCAGCAATAGAAGTACTCTTGGCCACCTTTCAACTACTAACTGACTGTGTAATCAACCAAATTGATCCATAGTGGTAAAAAAAAAAGGTAGAGAGTAATCCTATCAAAAGCTTGGTTAACAATTTACATGAAGGTAGATATTTGTTAGCCAAAAATCTGATGCAATTTAATTAGCTGCACAGAAATTCTAATGCAATCTTGATTAAGTTAACCAGGCATAGAAATACAAATACTTACAATGTCAAATACACATATAAGCTTTAAAAAAATGACTTATACAGTTAAAAACATAAGCTTATGAACTTAATAACAATTACCCAGACACAAATATATTCAATTGCTTCCAATATCCCAATATTTAAGAAAGTTATTGAGATATAATTAATGGACGCCATTGGATCTGTTAATAAGTGCTACAGGTTCAAGACAATTGATTCTCTTATTATATATGGGCTGCTATCACATGTAAAAGAATGCTCCGTATCATGTTAATTTCATTTTTCTTTTTGGTGAAAATGTTATTTTTCAGAAAAAGTTGACATATGTGATGGAAAGGACGAGGACGAGTTCTAAAAGTCGAAGCATAGTTGAAGCACCACCATAACAATTTTGTGACATGAGGGACTAAAAGTAAAGTCAGGTCTTAATTGAGAGACCATTGCTACAATTTTGCCTTATTTATTCTATCGCTTATTTCTATCTTCTTCCTTTTCTGATTAAATTTAAACGAGCTCTCTGTTTGTTGAGGCCCAAAAAAATCCATGGTTGGGCCCAAATAAATTATCAGCCCAAAACGACACTCCATTAAGAAAAAACATAAAGCGAAGTACACAAAAACCCGCCACATGTGAGTTATAGTTCACGTGCCATGCTAAATAAATTCGCCATGCTAGGGGTTGAGATAAATATGCTGGCTCTACAAGCCCATGTCGAAATTAAGCATCATAGTTCTTCTCAAGGATGATAAAATTAAAACATGTCAAGCGATATGTCATGCCAAGCACGAATCATTATTTCGTACTCAATCACACTACAAGCCTAAGTGGGCCTAAGCCACTCAAATGCCTGGGGCTTGCTTGAGTGGGTTGTGGTATGGATGGTGATAAATCAACATGAGGCCCATTGATGGGCCAAGAAATGGAAAGTCTCGGGTTGCTTGGGAGCCTCAGGACTCAAGCTCATTTATTAGGCCCAAACATATGGGTGAGCACAAAGGAGAAGAAAATAGTCCAACCAAAGCCCAAGCAAAATGATCTACTAAAATTAACCCATATGGCCCAATATTAGATGAAGATAACCCATTTGGTTGACTTGCTACTTTAAAGACCCACACAATTGGAGGTAAGAAGCAGCAAAAGCATTAACCCTTTGCTAAAAGAAACAGAAGCCATGTAGGGAGCAAAATATCCACATGTGCAGAGCTGCTGGAAGACCCCAGGCCATGGAAAGGAACAAGTTCCAAGCTCAAAAACGTCCAAAGAACCAAGGGGTATCAGCATGTAAGATGCTAGGAAGAGAAGCACCCTTTGAACCAGCATATATATCCCAATCCCTTTCCCCATCAGACTTGGCCATGAAAAAAGGAAAGGAAAGCAATGAAGGAGATGACTGGGAATGGAAGTCTCCCATTGAGGCAGCTGCAGGAAAAAGGGGTCTTGAGCTCCAAAAAAAACTTTGATCTTGTGCAAATAGGTAAAGGGGATTTCATCAAGATGGGAAAAGTCAAGGAATAAGATGAGAAAGGAAGGAAAAAGCTTAGCCAAAATGGGTAAAAGCCATTAAGGTTTCTTAGGGAAGTAATGGTTTCCAGCGGCTATAAAATGAGGCATCTTCTACCCAACAAAATCAACCTAGATTCAGAGAGCAAGCTTTCTCTCTAACTTGCAAAAACTCAACAATCTCGTGCACTATTCACCCTCTTCTCCATTCTTCTCTTATGGCAGACAGAGTATCTGTCAAGCTGCCAGAAGAGCATTGTTCTTCATTTCTCTCTTCCTACCCAAATCTCTTACAAACCTCTCCTTTCTCACCTTAACACTTCCCTTTTTTACCCCCCTAAGAAAGCCTAAATTTCCCCTCAGTGCTAAACTCTTGTTGATTTTGCTTCCATACCACATGCCTCTCATGCCAAGCTCAAAAGTTTATCAGTAAGCATGTAAAATTACCTGTAAATTGCCATCGTTTTGGCTGGTGAAGGTAACCAAAATATTTCCTAAGGCTCTACTGCCATTTCGAAGCATTTTTTGGGCTTAATTTTCAAACTCAAATAAAGGGGACAATTTCATCAGTTTGTCCTTTACGGCAGCCCAGCCTATTTACAGTTGCCGGAAGAAAAAGTCCCCTATTTACAAAGAAAACAAGGATGTATGTATAAAGCGTATAGCCGTTAGGCTATACTATTTAGTAAAAAAATAAATAAAACAATTAAAAAAAACCAGTAACGTCGAGCGGCTATACTAATTTTTTAAATTTTTTAAAAAACAATCGAGTATAGCCGCACGGCTATACTATTTCTTTTAGAAAAAAATAAAAAACGAGTATACTTGTTGAGCTGTGTGTTTAGTTTTATTGTATGTTGGCCCGTATACAAAGGATCTTGTAAACATCCTAACTTCTTATATAAAAAAAACTATTTTGTTAACAACTTATAAATTTTTAAAGGGAGTTTCACTAAAACACCCAAAATGAGGCTGAAATTATAAAAAAACCCAACACCCAAAACACTTTATAAACACACCCAAAACCCATCATTATACACACTCAAAACCCATTTATAAACACACCCAAAAAATATACAATTGTTGATTTTATGGTTGATTTTGGGTGTGTTTCAATGTTTAAATAGTGTTTGGGTATTTTTTATAAATACATGTCTAGAATTGGGTTTATTTATAAATTTGTATTTTTTAAAATCCAAATTCCATGGCCGGAAATCAATATTTTGGAACAGGTTCTGAAACACGAGCAATTCTTTCATATCTTTATTTTATTAAAATTTTGATAAAATCGTGAAACTTCATTATTTACCAAGACATGGAGAGAGAGAGAGAGAGAGAGAGAGAGAGAGAGAGATTGGATGCTCTACACAAGGCAATGAATTTCATTGCTGCTGTGCTCTATCCTTCGTTACAACATAAAATTCCTACCCCTCCTTCTAAATTAAATCCTTACAACTACTACATTTTTCATTTGCGCCTACATCATGAACCCCTTACAACATTTTCCATTTTCACCTACAGGCTACAGCATGATATATACAAATCAGCTATTTCCAATAACCAACCCTCCCCACAGAGACATCAGATTAAATGACAAACCTCGTCAGTACGGACTAAAATCTTTTGCACAATTGTTCATCAGTCCAGCCGGTCCCTTCCTCTGTTCCATTCCATTGTCAATAACTTTCCTATCTTCTCCCGCTTGTTCGACGCCTTTTCTGGAACCCTTGCTGGTGGTGGCATCATATACGACTGCCTCACTACATCCGTGGTTGAATGTCTTATATCCACAATTGACTCCTTAAGTGATTTGCCAGGTGATGACCTACTTGACCTGGGTGTAGACCAATTTATTGGTCCTTTTGTAACGCAGCTGAAATTATTGAAATCCTTCCTATCATCAACCATAGAGAGCCTGGGCTTCTTTGGGGGTAGCATCATCCGGTTGACGCTTCTCCTGAGATTATCAGACCCAGATACAACAACTGATGTTCCATATGCTTCTTCAGGTTTCTCTATTGATTTTAACTTGCGAGCTTTCATGGCCTTTTGTGAAGGCTTCTTTGGCCATCTTATGATTCCATCTGGATTTTGCCTCGAGGAACAAGTTGCCATGTCACACAGTGTTCGAGCAGCAGCTAATATTTGTGGACAACGCTCATCTGGACAAGCAAAAACCATTTCATTAATAACGGCAAAGTCACACAGCTGCAGAGGCAGAAATAGAAATCGGAGTGTATGTGGAGTATAGATAATGCAAAATCCTTTCCAAGCCAAGACAAGAACAACAAAAACGTAATTGCGCAACTGATGGGCCTGACATCCAGTTCTTATTTCCTAACAAGGCACATAGCCCATCAGACAAAGCCTATCAGATTCATTTACTATTTCATTTAAAGCATATAACATGCATCATCTGGCACATTCCACAATCATATTAATTGGGAAACTAGCAGCCAAAGAGGGCATCAATGAATGATTTTGGATTAACCCAAAGTAGGCCTCCATTGAATGATTTTGGATTAAGTTTCAATGCCAACACGGCAGCATCATTCTTTGTCATCTTCCTTGACTTTATGCATAACCCTACCCACCCCAAGCATCCCAAAGCACGTGCATTTTACACATACAAACAAGAAGCATAAAGAGAGGCTGCTAACAGGTAGAAACTGTACCGTTACCATTTCCTAAATGATTCACCTTGCCTCCAGATTCTGCATTTCCAAAAAATTATAAATTATAAAAGGCAATGTCCCAAGCAGTAGGACTGACAGTGATAGTAATAATTTCCAGCAACCAGTGATAGTAATAATTTCCAGCAACCAATGTGACACATTCAAGTTTTAGTATATAAATCAAACTCATCCCTTAGAAAACATACCTAGCGGAACGAAGGATTGTTTGGAACATGTTGCACCAGACGATGAATCCCGCCGAAACCAAGAAAGACTAACAGATATGGATGGGGAAACTTGATTTTCTGAACCAGCAATTTTTAGCCTTGCAGAAGGAACTAGACTCTGATCATAGGTTAGTGACTCCAAGTCTGTAAAATTATTAGTGACAGCCCCCAATGAGCTAACAATATTCTTCCCTATTCTTTGCCATCGACCTTGGCATGTGCCCCTGCTTGTGGACAGTTTTGCTGCATCAGAACTGGTTCTACAGTGCCCATTAGAAGTATGCGACCATGGAAATGGAGGCAAGCTTGCCCGGCGAGATATTTGCTTGCCTGAGCATGGATCAGGAGTACTTTTTGAAGATAAAGCAGGTTTTGCAGCATCCAAAAGCAAAGATTCCAAATCCTTGGGTGGAGGAAGAGCCAAACGTTCCAAAATATACTTAGGTTCACATAATGGCAAATCAAGGGGATTAGCAGGAGTTTCAGGCTTTTTATGAGAATCCTGTACCTATAGGAACAAAAACAGAAAGGACGACGTCAATCATCAGTGGTATCCAAAAGATTAATAATCTGAATGAAATGAAACACTAGAAGTTATACAATAGAACTAAAATCCTCATCAGCGCAGCCTAATACTCTCAACTAAAATATGCAACCGTTCACACCAGCAGCATATCTATCCTGGATTCAGAAGATCTATCCACACAACCATTACAAAGAGTTCTATTCTGAAGCACAGCTTTTCCATGATTTTCCATGTAAGCCATAAAAACTTCTAGTTTTAATCAAACAGGTCACATAAAATGTTGTAAGTTTCCTCCAAGGCTAACAAATATATTAGATTACCACTGATCACCGACCTCATTACATGAAGAGAGATCTGTGATGACTGGTTCTCCCTTATCACCATTGACGCCAGAAGTTACAACAGAACTTGTGCTTAACGGCCATGGTGACATTATCTTGTCGGAATTGCTATCTACTTCAGCAATATGTTGGGGCTGGACAGACCTTGGTAGCTGAAGGACGAAACTGGCCTTTCTAACTGAATGCAGAAAACTATCGTTAACATTTGCTGGTTTCTTCCCTTTGCCGTTGTCTAAACTAGGACACTTGCATGTCCCATCAAGGAGCTCATTCAGTAGCACATCATCTACTAGCTTTGTGACATCATGATTATCTGACTTAAGGCCATGTACTCCTGACATTCATTTAAATCATGATTTAAATTTTGCACAGTATGCAATATGCACAGAGAAAGTATGGTAATAACTGAATGAATACGTCAATGATTCATTGAGAGACAGAATGTAGCTTTTGTGAGAAGTCTCATACCGAAAAAGTTGTTCCCTCCAGCAGCAGAACTGAAGCTTGGCAAACCCGCCTTTATGGAGAAAGAATCATGTTTAGTCTTTGCATGAAGTTTGAGATTTCTCTTATCACCTCGCTTACTTGTACAGTTGTTCTTTTGTTTCGCCAATTGATTCTTATCTAGAATATATAATACAGAAAGGCAAAAAACGACTCTCAGCACAAACCAGAACATAAAGAGACAGGTAATCTGGTTAAGTATCAAATGATGGCCTTACCAAATCATAACATAAATTTTGGAGACTGCACTTGCAAGCTAATGTTTCCAAATTTCCAACCACCCAGACCAAATTAACAGTTTACTGACTATAAAAAAGAAAAGTCCTACAAGATACAATGGACACATAGAAACTAGCACTGTAAAAGAATAAAGAAACTACTGGCACATAAATTTTCAGTTTCAAAGAATGAGAACTAGTAGAGCAAATTGAACTTCAAGGAATAACAAAATTTGCACAAAGAATATTATGGAGCCAGCAGATGTAATTCCACAGCATTCTAAATTGCTTGAAAAGGCTGCACATAATATTGTCTGTCTCATTCATCAGAGGGAAACATTGTAATTTCTATTGCTTTTATTACCCACCAAAGTTCCATTGTGGAGGTCCGGTAAGTTGAAAATGTTCCAGTTCAGATCTTATATGTGTTAACATAACTTTATAAGTTTAACAGTAGTTTCATTTAGGAAAAACAAAAACAAACACTTATACGTCAGTAGAGATTATACGGCATTACTTAATGATGCATCACACACTTACGCACTTACATTGGAGAATGAAAAAGGGTGTAGTTCCCTAGCTTTGGGTTTTAAGTATATATAGTTGACTCTTAAGAATTTTCAGTTTCCATACTGGGTTTGTAGGGTTTCCTATTCGGGATTGTACAGCCTCGATAAATAAGTCAAATTAATAAATAGGTCAAATTGTCCTGTTAGTAGTGGAACATTACAGACAATTACTTTCCAATTAATTTAATTTTGCTTCATGCAATATTATCATTCCAGATTCTACATCACTTATGCTTCACTAAAGAAAGTATTTAATTCCAATCAACTGCACTGAATCCATAACACTCTGATGTTAAACAACAGACCTGCAATACCTAGATGCGTGTTCATGTGCCCAACAGCAGTACGAGCTGTCAGGGAGATCTTAATTTTCCCCAACAGTAAGATATGTGTCAAAGAAAAAATGGGACTTTCCACTGAAGAAAACTTTACATTCATGCATTAAACAACTCCAGAAAAGAAAAAAAATCATGTCCTCACAAGAGAGGACAAATTACTGATATAACATTTAAGTGACTAATACATACAGACCAATCAAAATTTAACATACAAAGAGACCACAGATGGCATCTAGCATCTTTAGACTTGCCGGGTCAATTTTCTCGAAGTTGTAATCCTGATGATGATAAACAAGCATTTACGTCAAATAACTATTCAAAGTGCCAGTAGATGACATATATTACCTGAAGAACTGCACTTTGTAAGATATGATCCGAGCTTATCTGACATATCCCTTATCCCATCAACTCCAGCTAAACTCGTTGGATCTTCCAATCGAGCAATTCGCGGTCTCTTAGAAGTCGAACTACCCATTTTTGACACCTTTCCTGATTTCCGTTCTAGCTGTACACTTTCAACACCAGTATGCAACAAAAAACCATTTTTGCCCCTACAATGTTGGTGCCTGGACAATTCTTCACCCTGATAACTGAGCAGCTGACCACCAAGCTTAGATGGTTCATACTCTGAAGCACTAACCACATTTGTTACCTCTGAGAACATAACCAAATTCCCCAGAGCAAAAATTTTAGAAATTTTAGTAACAAAAATGAGCATGCACTTACAACCAAGGAATCATAAACTATGAAGTTAAGAGGGTACCCAGATACACATCCAAATTCAGAAATATGGGTAACTAAAATTATAAATATTGAACTACCTAAACCAGTAATTAATAAATGAGGGAAATCAGAGAAAATTGCTTCAATTGGAAAACATATTAAGCAAACATTTCTTTCCTTTTACTCTCGTTTGCTTTCAGTTCCTAAAAAAACATATCACAACCTCAAAATTTGGGGAAATACAAATCTACGACTCGAGAAAAAGATCAAATCCCAATTTACCAGTCGAATAATACTAACAAGCAAGCCAGTCCTAGACAAGGTAAGTAATTAAATAATTTAAAAAAAACAAAACAAAATCAAACGCCAAGAAACCACCTTTATCGCTGAGAAATGAGCTGCAAGCCTCAGTCAAAGGGCTTGCGCGAACAGAAACACGGTCCAAATCACAAGGCTCAAGCTCCTTGACTGTAACCCCAGCTCTCACAAGACCCTCCATCCCCATAAACTTCTGCGCGCCGGCAACGTCCACCGGAAAAGTCAAGTCCACTGCTTCCATCACCAAAACTCAATCGAAATACAACAATCAACCGATAAATTTACAACAGTAGTTGGCGAACATCGCCTTGAGATCCATAACCTCACGAAATCAGTTAAAGAAGAGCTGAGGAGGATCATTAGGGCGAATTTTGGAGGGAAAATGAGAGGGAGGGCATGGATTTGGTGCGAAAAAGTGAGGGAAAAGCTGAGAACATTGGGAGTTCGGCTGAGAAAAGCATGTTGCGGCGAAATGAATGTTTCTAGGGCACGAGCAGCAATGGGGGAAGAAAAAGAAGTATTTATAGTTTTCGGGAAAGGGTGAGGTGTGTTTGGTAACGGGTGGCTGGAATGGAATATTCCGGTGAGGTTAGCGTCAACGTTGATCAAGAGCGCATGTTTTTTGTTGGCTTGGGCTTTAGGTTGCTTGACGTGGCATTATCCAATTACCAATTACATAAGAAAAGGAGGAATTACATGGATTACATGTGGTAGCTTATCTAAGGGCCACCAATGAGAGAGAGACATGTGCCAATATTAAAAACAAGTATTGGTTATATGAAGCGAAAATGGAGAAAATTATAGAAAATTAACTCTTTAAAGTACTAACAATGTATTATGAAGGTTTGAATTTTCCACTAGGCTAAACCCCTGTTGGCGAAAAATAAAGAATAACTTATCTCTTTTTTAATTGAAAGTACTCATCAACAACATATAATAATCTAATTATATCATTAATCTTTTAGAACGGTTCACATAGTTCTTTTAAGTTGGTGAATGGGCATTGTCATGTAACAAATGGGAAAGCTTCTTTCGAACCCTACCTACTAGAAAAATTAAGAAGCCAACCTTTTTTTAAATATATATAGTTTGATAAATATTCGATATTTAATTTGACCATAACTTGAGTATAACTTGAGTAAATCCATGTCCGAAATTTATAATTTCATGATTAGTTTTGATTTCATACTCAACCAAATTAAAAATTATAATGAGATCATGACTAATTTATTCAAGTTTTTTTATCAAGGAAACTAAGGGTCTGTTTAGTATCCTACTTGGATCTAATTTTATAAACTCAAAAATAGATTTTAAGTCCAAAGCCACAAAAATCTGTTTGATAAGCCTGAAAATTTCTATGTTATAACAGCCATGTCTTGCACAAAAATTGCTTCAATTGGAAGACATATTAAGAAAAACTCACGCTTTCTCTCTCTCTCTCTCTCTTTCTCTCGCATCTCTCTCCTCCCTCTCTCATCTATATCTCTCCTCCCTCTCCCGTTTTTCTCCTCCCTCTCTCCTTTTCTTTTGTTAATTTCAATTTGGGAATTTAGGGTTTCTAATTTTTTTTTTAAAAAATTCAATTTTTTATATCTAAAAAATAGTTTAAAGTTCAATACCAAACAAGTTTTCAGATCTTAAAATCACTATTTGAAAACTCATGTTTTTAAAAGAATCATAGTTTTTTAATTTACTTTTTTGAGTAGGATACTAAACATGGCCTAAATAAAAATTTGAATTTCAAAATTAGGCATTTTAGTTAATGCTTATAAGTAAATTAATGTTAATAAGACATAGAAATGGTAAGAACAACATGAATTTCAAATGATTCATTCTTCCTAGTCATTGACGATTAGTAATTTCGATAATTCTCTCTTTATGTGAACCTTGATGATAACCAATTCTATTTTCTCTAAAAAACTTCCAAACCGAGTCACTGTTTTGATTTCTCTTTTTTGTGTTCCTCACGTATATTTGATTTAGTTACTTAAATTTTCTCACTCATTTTAGAAGTTTTTGAGAGTGGAAGGAGAATCCACTTCCATGAAGGCTTACATAAAGAAATATATATAATTAGAGATATAACATAAAGATCAGGGAAGGAGATCACAATGAAAACATATTCTATGCTATGTAAGTAACATGGAAAATATTAAGAGATGATAAATTTTTTTCATAATCTCAAATTTGGTAAGGGAAATAAGAGCAATGAAAATATAATTTCATTGATTTATCTCGGTTAACTTACAATGTAAACATATAAATATGTGGACATTCACATTTCGCACTTCAAAACTTTATGTTTAGCATTTCCTCAATATCTTTTGTTGACGCACAGTCTAACCTCACTTGGGTGGGCCTCTAATGGGCTGCCACGTCAGTAGGCCCAAGGGTAGAAGTCAGTTGTTGTTCTCCTACAAAAGGGACTCTCTCCTCTTGCTGAAAGGAGACCCCAAAAAAAGACCAGGAGCCAAGAGAAGAAAGGGCTCTCGGCCACTCTTTCTCCTTTCCTCCATATCTCTCTCCTCTCCCATTTGTAAAGGTTCTCAAGCCTATCCCAATGTAATCTCTACACATATATACAAATACAACAACCAGTGGATGTAGCCCAAGTCTAAGGGTGAACTACTCAATCTCTTCATTCTGCTTGTATGACTGTGATACTACGGCTATTCCAAAATTACGAGTATAACATTTGGCGCCATCTGTAGGAACCAGCACGAAAGGCATGTCGTTCTCATTTTTCCCGACAATTGGAAGTCCATCTCCACCAAAAACAACCATCCTTATGGTCCTAACACTCTTAGCCAACCAAGACAGGCAGAAAAGGTCACGTTCTCCACACTCCAAAATCTGCTCAAGACACCCATGTGTCTCCTTGCCTCATTCTTTCCCTCTTATCATCTCACGCTGACTTCTGTGGACCAAGGCAGAATTGTTGACAACTCAAGTCCCAACCTCAAAGCTTGGTGCGGGTCAAGGTTTTCGACTCCAACTTGACCGTGCTTCGAACTCACGTCGAATTCAACACTGAAGAAAAAAAAAGAACGTTCATGCAGCTCTCACCCACTTCGACATCCACTCCGCCATCGAAGTCTCACTATGATCTCTCATTCTTGGAAACAAACATGAAACAAGAGAAAGAGGCAGCTCTCTGCAATGCTCTGTTTCTCCAGAAATCAGGGTTGCCACCTCCTCACACTCTATTCTCCTTTTGAATGAGATCGCTTATTACAAGATATCTTCATCTCAACAACATATCTGTTTGCATAATATCTATTTGCATAAATATCTGAACATAAATATCTAGGTATAATATCTCAACTTAATATCTGTAATAGGTTATCATAACATAATATCTTACAATATTATATTGTTATTATGTGTGGATACATGAACCAAATTACGACCACCGTGGATGAGCGCCGATCACCTTGCATGGTCACCCATCGCCTTGCATGGCTGACCCGACCACCGTGGATGACGTCGACCACTTTGCATGGTCACCTGCTACCATGATTTTGGTCCTCCTTTATTTCTTAATCCAAGTCCGTAACCAGGGTGATAGAAAGGATGATAACCAAACTTGGTTTTATTAGTGACCCATTAGAAACCAACAAAGAAGAAAAAATAGTCACAACTTAAAGAGCGGCGAGTGACCAATGCTGCTGACAAGGTCCCATGGCTACTGACCAGACCTCATCACTGTCGTCGACCCGATCTCATCGCTACCGATCAGACCTTACTACTACTGTCGACTCACCCACAACCTCATCAAAACGTGGTAGCGAAGTTGGGTCATCTCTTTGCCAGGTTAGGTTCTTTCTCAACCAAATATTTGCTTAGGGCACCCATGCCCTCTTCTCTCTAAAAAAGACAAAGAATATCTTCCCTTGCTCAGATAGAAACCAAGAATAGCAAGAAAAATGAGAAAAAGGGGGAAAAGGCTCTGCTCAGCCCCGGCCACCCAATGTAGCGACCAAGTGGGCTCGGCCCCACCGACCACATAGATTCACCCGTGACTCCCCCGTTCCATTCCGACCAGGTCCCATCGCCGTGTCGACCAGCACCATGTCAATGAACACCATGTTGAGGGGCACCACGTCGCCTAACACTGCATGACAAAGCGTCAACTCATCGTTCCTAGATGAGCAGACCACTGTAATCTACAACGACCGCTTAATTTGCAACGCTATTGGACTTAGGGGCTCATCTCTACGAATACAAACACCCAGTCGACAATGCCATCCCTATTGTCTAAACATGCGCAATTCCACATGCCTTGTTTGAGACCACCCAAAGCAATGAGAAAAACTTTATCTCATGTCTATAGAGTGCTACTACATCGTCGAACAACTAAGCCCACAAAGGGGGACTTTTCCAACCAAAGATATTAGCCCATGAATTGGGTTCTCCACTATCACTATCACATGTTCAAAATGCCATCGAGACCGAGACGGCTCGAAAGACATCGAGACCGAGACGGCTTGAACGACATTGAGACCGAGACGGCTCGAACTACATCGAGACCGAGATGACTCGAGCAGCACCCTATCCACCTTGTACCACCATAGTCAAAGTGAGATAAGGAAAATATCATCTCCATTTATGTGCTCGGCTCAGCCACACTATCTCCAATATATCTCGTCATGCTTAAGGAGAAGGAAAATTATATCTTCATATATGTGCTCGGCTCGGCCTTATTAACTCCATACATGTATTCGGCTCAGCCTTATTATATCTACACATATGTGTTCGACTTGGCCTTATTATCTCCATATGTGTGTTCGGCTCGGCACCTTCTCCACCACTGTACCACCCATTGTACGTAAATTGCAACTTATTATCTCCATACGTGTGCTTGGCTCGGCCAAACACTGGTCTTACTTGAAAGTCCCCAGCCAAGAAGCTATTCTAAATTGTGAACTTGGGGGCTTCTATTGACGCACGGTTTAACCTCACTTGGGTAGGCCTCTAATGGGCTGCCACGTTAGCAGGCCCAAGGGTAGAAGTCAGTTGTTGTTCTCCTACAAAATGGACTCTCTCCTCTTGCTGAAAGGGGACCTCAAAAAAAGACAAAGAGCCAAGAGAAGAGAGGGCTCTCGGTCACTCTCTCTCTTTTCCTCCAGATCTCTCTCTTCTCCCATTTGTAAAGGCTCTCAAGCCTATCCCAATGTAATCTCTACACATATATACAAATACAACAACCAGTGGATGTAGCCCAAGTTTATGGGTGAACCACTCAATCTCTTCGTTCTACTTGTATGATTGTGATACTACGGCTATCCCAAAATTACGGGTATAACATCTTTATTTAAAACAATTTACTTGAGTACATGCCAAAGAAGAAAACAATTAACTTGAGAATGAAAGTAACTTATACAATGTCAATAGGGTATAGCTCAGTTGGTTGAGCTCTTCTACCTCTATCCATATAGGTAGAAGTTTGAAATTCCTATACACCTACTGAATGTTTGTGTAAACCCCACTCCTCCAATTGCTTATGCTCAAAAAGTAACTTATATAGTTATCCACCCATCCTCTTTTTATTCGTTCAAAATTAGATGCCTTATGCGTTACTTTTTCCTATCGTGGCTAAAGCAGCCTAAAGTGAACATGTTTTGATTCAAATTTAAACACAAACTCTTTAGCAACACTTGCATACAAAAGCTATTTCCAAAAAGAGAAGAACATGATAAAATAGTGTGTCACAATTTGATAATCTTTCATTCTCCACTTCAAAAAGAAAAAAAAGAAAAGAAAAAATGTGTATTGTTTAGGAGGGCACCAAAATGTCATGATTCTCATCATGATAAATGCATGATCCATCATCATCAACCCATCATTACAAAAAAAAAAACCAAAACAAAAATTGTGTTCTAATTTATAGTTCTAGTTGACCAAGGTTGACCACGCACGTGCGAGGCGCATGCTCTCAAAGTTTCCAGATAGGGTTAGCTCAAACTTTATTTAGGGCTCCCTTAAACGCAAAGCAGAGAGGGGTCCCCTCAAAAACCCAACCCAACTGTTACACACTTAAAAGACTTAGTTTTTTCCACACTCTCTCTCTCTCTCTCTCTCTCTCTCTCATTTACCAGCCGAAAATGGCCGCCACGCACACCTCCACCACATCTTCTTCAACCCATAAAGCCGAAGATATTATTTCCTAAAATCTCTGCTTGTGATTTCGAAGCTATTATTGTTATTCTGATTCTCTTTTAGGCTTTTATCGCTTTAGCCAAAAGACGCGTTAATCGGATCTTTATCCTCGCTTTTGTGCGCACCCAAGGCCGAAACGTAGAGTTAGGGTTTTGTATTCTGCTTTTGTTTTGTTTGCTTGGTTTTTCTGGGTGCGATTTTGGGTTGTGTAGAGAAGCTTTGCTGTGATGGACGAGAGTGTTGTTGACGATCTTATACGGAGGCTTGTCTCAGCGAAGAATGGCCGGACCACCAAACAGGTGCAGCTCACGGAGGCCGAAATAAGGCAGCTTTGCTCCGCTTCCAAGGAGATCTTTCTCAGCCAGCCGAATCTTCTTGAGCTTGAAGCTCCGATAAAAATTTGCGGTAAAGAACTCGATATGATTGATTCTGGATTGAAAGTTTTGGTTTTAATCTTCGTATAAGTTTTGGTTTATTTGACGAGTAATTTGGGTGGGTTTGCACATGGAAATGATTATTTTTTTTTTCTTTCTTTTTTCTAGTCAATTCACTTGAAAAGGATTTCATCATTGGAAATTGGGAGTTTCTTTGAGCAGATAATGTAATTTTTTAGATTCTAAGAAGTATTAAGAAAAATTGATTTTTTTGGGTAGAGTCAGTTTCTGGTGCATTTGATTAGAGCAGAAAGAGCATTTACTAGTGAAAAGAACGGGGCAGCTTTGAAAGGGTTTCCATATGCATTAATCAGTTTGCCTCATCAGAGTATATCATATCGATTGTAGAGTGCGAAGTATATTTTTAGCACATAAGAAATTGTTACCAGTGTTTGTCTGATAAACCAAAATTTGATGGTAAGAGATTTAATGTAGTTTTCATTGCCAAAATTTGTGGCGAGGTTATGTGGCAAAACTTCCGAGCATTACTAAAGGCTTGCAAGATTCTAGGCAGACTAAGGTTGTTTATGAGGCCTTTCAGTTTTTCATTGCCTTATTTTCCTGGCCAAAAAAAAGTTATTCTTTGGCTTGTTTTGGCCTTGGACATGTTTCTTCTGGGGTGGTTGCCTGTTGGTGGGTTAGCTAGGTTCCTTACTCTGCAAAGTAGTCACTAGGTACTCCTGATACCAGTGTCTATGATATGGCTGTATTCTGGTTGCCACTTATTCTTTTAGATTAGATGGGTATTAATTTAGTGTTGTCAGTGCCATGTGTGCTTTGCCTTGGTAGGCATTCTCTGAAGTTGGATTTGGTGGACAGCCATTGAACTGCACCATTGTGACGCATGAAAGTAGGTATTTGTTTTTGGTGGAAATTGGCTCATGCAAGTAGTCAAAGTTTGATTTTTTCCCTCTCAGATGAATGTAAAAGGTTGATGTTACTATGCATTAGGCGATATGTTCGATCCTCATTTATTGCACTGGGACCTACTGCTCGAATGTCGGTCAACTTTTCATGTGTTTGTAGATTGACCACTCACATAGAGGTAAGTGTCAATCAACTTGTGATAGCGTACAAGCTATTTGCACATATATCTTCTAATTATTTGATACGAAGGGCACATATAACTTCCGAACTCCACCTTTTTGTTTAACTTAGGTTCAGTTCACTTTCTGGCATCAATGTCCTACCCTGTTAAGGCGATTCAGGTGTTCTAAAAGAATTTTGGTCTTTAAGTAATTTTATATTCATGACCATCAACCTTTGTTTGGTTTGCGTTCTAGAAATGTTTTCTTTATATAAGGGAAATCCGTTTCAGCATATATGGTTTAAAAAAAAAAATCTTATTTCATTTAATTAAATAGTAAGGGCCACCTTGTAGGTGTATATTTGTTCGATTGATTAATTAAGAAATTTCTATATTCATTTCCTGAACTGAATAGATATTCTCTGTTGAATACTACAATAACACCGATCCATTTTCCATCATTGTTCTACAGGAGATGTTCATGGTCAGTTTTCCGATCTTTTGCGATTGTTTGAGTATGGTGGGTACCCACCTGAGGCCAATTATTTATTCCTAGGGGACTATGTCGATCGTGGTAAGCAGAGCATAGAGACAATTTGCCTTCTCCTTTCCTATAAGATCAAATACAAGGAGAACTTCTTTCTCCTCAGAGGCAACCATGAATGTGCTTCCATCAACCGCATATATGGGTTCTATGATGAGTGCAAGAGAAGATTTAATGTTCGCATTTGGAAGACATTTACTGACTGCTTCAACTGTCTTCCTGTTGCGGCTCTTATTGATGAAAAGATCCTTTGCATGCATGGTGGTCTTTCTCCTGATTTGAAAAACTTGGATCAGATTAGGAATATTGCCCGGCCGGTGGACGTGCCAGATCAGGGCCTTCTCTGTGATCTATTATGGGCTGATCCTGATAAAGATGTTGAAGGTTGGGGAGAGAATGATCGTGGCGTGTCCTATACTTTTGGTGCTGACAAGGTTGCTGAGTTCCTCCAGAAACATGACCTTGATCTCATTTGCCGTGCTCATCAGGTAATATGACTTAATTTTCTTTTTTCTTTTTGGGTTTCTCGTTTGGAACTGAATTGGACCTGTGTGCTCGTGTATACACTAAGTCTGGGAACTGACAACTCAACCTGATGTAATGCATCTTCAAATAATCATCTTAACTTGTACAGTTCCATTTGTCACGACAGTAATATTATGAACGTTTTGAAGTAACTTTATTCAAAATTTCATCCTTCATATGTTGGTGAACATGTAAAATAATAGTGGAGTGAGTTATAATTTGAATTTCTTTGTGTATGTGCATGATATATTTGTTTTTCTGGGTAGATTTCTATTCCTCATGATTTTCCTTCCACTACTGGCTCTCAACTTTGTGATCATGGCTTGTCAATTAGGTTGGTATCTTGTGTTTGGCTCTGTTATAAATTTTTTGAGCAAATAGTTTTACACCAGAAAAAATTCCTACGACATTAAGAGTTCTTGTGTCTCACATGTTTGGTCACATACTCAATTCTGTCTTTCAATTGATGCTGAAGTACAATCTGTATGTCAGTGTTTATGAGCACATGCTTTTCCCTGGCCTGAGATGCAAACTGTATGTTATTTAGTAGTGTTCTTAATGTTTGTCCACCTCTTATTTGATTTATTGGGTTTCCTTTATCAGGTTGTGGAAGATGGGTATGAGTTTTTTGGAAAGCGGAAGCTGGTGACAATATTCTCAGCACCAAATTACTGTGGGGAGTTCGATAATGCTGGTGCCATGATGAGTGTAGATGATACATTGACATGTTCCTTCCAGATCTTGAAAGCATCTGAGAAGAAAGGAAAGCTTGGAGTAGGCAACAACATGTTAAGACCAGGAACTCCACCTCATAAGGTACAGAATTAGAAATTTCTTCCAAATAGCAATATGGAAAAAAAAATTAGTTTTGAATGTTTCTTGGAGATGTATTTCTATTATCTATCATGGTAGTAATAGTTTAGAAGCTTTGACAAATGAATTGTAAGAAGAATTGTCTTAGCCGAGTAGCTTCCTTGGATAATTACAGTAGGTCAATTAGTACTGAATGGATGGTGCAAGCTGTTGGCTAAAGGAATTGGCGATGTAAATTTTTTTTTGATTCACCTGATGTTATGGAGAAATCTCTATGCTGATTTATTGTTCAGTGACCTTGGATGTCATTAAGCTCATCAACTGTCATTCTGTGATCCGGATGATGTTTAACTGCGTACTTTTCTCTCACGCAGGGTAAGGGCTGATCGATTGCAACTTCAGAGAACACATACATCTTCTGTATCATCTTGTGCTGCTTGGCTGCGTCTCTGTTGCAAGGTTGATGATTCACCTCGGCCTTCTTTTGTGTCGTACAGAAGTATGAAGCTGCAAAGTTATTTCTACAGCGTCAAAAGAGCCATTAGTACCAGAATTAGTTCGACTTTTATTTTCTTCCCAAAAAAGGGAGAAAAGCTAAATTTAACTGTATAATTGAAATATTCCGACTCCATCACGTTGAATTGTAGAAGTTTTTGTTTCATGGCAGAACCTATATTTTCAGTTGCTTACAAAATTGCCCTTATGCTCCCGAAAAACTCCACCATTGCCTGAAATTACAGCAGGGGGTGGGCTTCTGTTGCTCTCCTTTGGCAGGGCCACTATGGGATATTGGTGGCTGTTGAGCCTTGGGCAATTTGGCTTTTGGTTTAGTGGTTTTTTAGGGTGAACTTGATGAAAAATGAGAGAGAAGTTCGTTCAGTGAATTGCAAAGGTCTTATGCAATTATTAATTTGGCATTGCCCATAAAACTTATTAGCGTTTTAATTCCTAAGTTCAACCATGTTTATATTTTCTGAGACTGGCAGAATTTCTACACCCATTCATGAAACAGATCCCATAACTGATTTCAAATAAATTTCTTCAAAAATCTCTGGACAAGTTTTATACAGATTTCACTTATTGTTCAACAACAATTGATTTCTTATCACGCAATTTTACTTTGCAATATGTAGCGACCTCTTAATTTCAAGGCAATTTCTTTGTTCTTGTCATGGTGTGATTTAAGCCATCTAGTTTCCCATTTGATTCACAATCGTTTGATCCGAAGTTAGATTAAATTGGTGCACATCTTAGAGTCTAAACATGTATGATTTACTCATAAAATCTTCATTTCACCAAATTCTAAAACTTTTTTTCTCTATATAGTAGCACATAAAAGTTATTCTCAAGTTCGGTTTGTAGGCAAATTTTTCTAGGACTTCACCTCCTATTTATCAATTGCTAGCTGATTTTCTTGTCAATTTTTTTTTTAAAAATATAATCAATATTGAAAAATGGAAGAATCGAACATAGGATTTTGGATGTAAAAGATAATGCTCTTAACCGCTTGACTTCAGATGCTAGATGCTTTTGTTGTTTATAATTCGTCTTAACACAATTGGTTTGTTTAGAATTTATAAATTCGTTTAAAATTCGAGAGTTTAAACCCTAAATCCTTGGTTATACATGAGCTTAGCAGATTAAAAAGAAATAATTAAAAAAAAAAACTCCCCCGGGAAATTATCTGAATACAGGTGGAAATTATAAGAGATGTGGTGGCATGGGTCCCGCATATTTTGTTTGGTTTATATTTTCCCGGAACCTTTTCAATTCACTTTTCCTTCAGTTTTTTTAATAACATTTGAAAAACCCGAAGAGAGAGAGAAAGTGGGCCGTGTCTGTGTGTGGGTGTGTGAGCTAATGAATGGAACAACGCTAACACCGCAGGCGGTGGTGAACAATTTAGTGAGTCTGAACGCAGGCGGCGTTGGGCAGCAGCAACTCTCGGCTTCTCTCGTCAACTCCTACCGAGTCGCCGCCGTGGCTGAGCGCTTGGCTGCTCACGTCAAATCTGGCTACCGTGGCGAGGCCATGGAGTTCTTCAATCTCTGCCTCTCCCTTTCCAGGTACTAGCTTCTACCTCTTTCTATCAAACCCTATTTTCAATTTCTTTGTTTTCCCCTTTTTTTTTGTTTTGAAATTGTTTTGGCAAATGTAGAGGCATTGATTATGCCGTTGCAAACAATGAGGTTCCGACGATAGCCCACGATTTGCCTGCGTTGTTGAAGCAGGTATTGGAGTTTTCTTCTTCTAGTTCATCAATGCCCTGTTCTATGTTGCCTTCCCAAATTTTTTTTTTCTCAGTGAAAAAGATTTATACTTGAGCATGTTTTGTGCAGATATGCCAGCGTAGGAGTGACAAAGTATTGGAAGCTGCTATCATGGTGCTGATGATCTCTGTTAAGGTATTACCTCAATGCCTTTAGTTTTATTGAATGAATGCCAAATGGGTGTTACACATTTGCCAAGTCTTATACGTGGCTTGCGCTTTGTTCATGTTTTCACTTTTTCCCTCATTTTACTAGAAGGTATATTTGGTTTTGTTTTTGTATCAAGTTTGAAAGAATTTGAACATATAGGCATGAGTTTTCCAGCTGACGTTGTGTTTTTCTCGGTAGAATGCTTGTAAGACTGGATGGTTTTCAGAAAAGGAGACTGAAGAACTATTTTCTCTAGCTAATGAGGTTTGCTGTTACTTTGTTTATTATTGCTGTTATTTCTTTCATGTAGATGTTTCTGATGATCATCTCTTTGCAATTATAGACAGGGAGTAGCTTCTGGCTCCCAGGAGATTTTAAAACTGGACCTAGCTGTTGTCTCTCTACTGTGGACACAATAATGAAAAGGTGGAACTTCTGCTTCACTTTTTTACTTTCTTTCACGACATATCATCTTAGCCTAATGATCCTGAACCATGCGGCCATGTTAGAATCTAGAAATTAGAGTTTTACCAGGAATAGGTAGAAGTTTTTCATGAATGCAAGGATAATGAGGTTACGTGGCCTGACATCTTTGAATTGTGTATTATATATATTGAAGCAATTAAATGTTAACTTTCTCCACACTGTATTCAGTTTGTGCTGTGTTTCTGGTTGATGTTTACAATTGACCTCTTCAGTTCCTAATATTTAAAGTATCCTTTATTTGCTCCTTCTAATAACCATGCTGATGATACAAATACATTTTTGAAAGGCCTCCTTGTGTGTGTGTTTGGGTTTTGTTTGCAGATATTATCCACTGATGAATATGGGCCAGATACTTGCCTCTCTCGAAATCAAGGTAGCTCTTCATTCTTTTTTTCAATTTTTTTTTTTCTTTTAACATAACTTTTTTTTTTTTTTGGGCTTGTTTTGAAGTATGTGTCATTGTGTTGTAGCCTGGATATGGAACGTACGTGCTTGATTTCCATATTTCAAAGAGTACAGTATATACTCCTCAAGAAAAAATTGTAAGCATCTTCTTGAATTAGTTGCAATGTTGGTAGTCTTTGTAAGTGCTTGAGTTCTTGTTAATTTTTTTACACATGCATGGATGCACACACACACACAAGCACACACGCGTGGTCATGCATAATACACATAGGCACATACATGCATGCAGCAAGCCCATCAATCGTCCTTAAATGGTCTAACAGATGGCTTATGTCTCCTTCTAAATCCTTATTCCCCATACCCCATATTTCGTATATGTACTTATGTATATATTTGTGTACTTGTGTTGGTTTACAAATTTGTGAGATTATTACAAACAAGGTTGCTTGACATTGTCCCATTATTTTGCCAAGCCCTTTTTGCCATAACGCACAACATTCACACAGTTTTTACTTTATAGATATAAAACACTAGTGCAGTTTATATATCATAGCAACATAATTGTTGTTAACCCTCATGAAAAAACATGATTGTGTTAACCTTTAAATCTGTACTTTTCAGTATAACTTATTTGTTCAAACTTTGGGCATGCTACATATACTTTTTATTCTATGAACTGTTAATTATATAAATTTTGGTAAGTCGTACAAATAATCAATAATTTAGGGGTAGAATCACTGTAATTTTTATTCTATGAACTGTTATTTACTTCAGTCTCATTTGATGCATTTTCCAACTAGTTAAACAGTTATAATTTGGTTCTACAATTGTGGTGTTTTTTCGCTTTGTGCTTTAAATTGTACTTTATACTGTTTTTCCTTTCATGCATTGAATTGGAAATATGATTTATGAAAGTAATTCTTGATCTCACCCTTTTTTATTTTCCTGAAGCGGTTATTTGTCGCACAAACAGATAATATAGAGACATCTGCGTGTATTATAAGTCCGCCACAAGTGAAGTACATCTCATTTTCCTCTTAATCTTTTAGTTTCGTTGGAGGTGTTTCCTATCTATTCTGATGACATTTCTTTTACTTCTGTAGCTTTCTTCTAAATGGAAAGGGAGTGGATAGAAGGACAAACGTTTTAATGGTTTGTGTGGTTCCACTCACTCGATAGCTAGATGCAAATGACTGAATTTGGGTTATACCATAGTATTTATTTAGTGACAGTCTGTGTCTTACATTTTGTTTGTCAGGATACTGGACCGCAGATGCCATCAGTTGTGACTGGAATGCTTAAATTTGGATCAAACCTTCTTCAAGCTGTGGGCCAGTTCAATGGTGAGCTTGGGTGCAAGTCTTCATGGTCTAAGTATTATAGTTTTGTTGTACAATATTCTTCCAGCTCTGACTGTAATGTAACTACTTTTAGGTCACTATATCATAGTGGTTGCCTTTATGCGCATCACATCATCACCTGACACTTCAACACTGAAAGATTATACTCAGCCCATTGTACCTTTGTCAGATTCAGGTGTTACACATGATTACTTTTCAATTTATTCTTATACACTATGTAGATATGTCGTCATACCTAAACTTTTGAAATCCATTAGGCTTTGTACCATAGTATAGTATGTATAAATGATAACTGTTTTATTTCAATCATTAGATTCTGATATAATCGAAGGGCCATCAAGAATATCTCTCAATTGTCCCATAAGGTACGCCTTGATATTTGTTGCTTGGGTAATATTTTTATTAGCTTATTTTGTTTTGAATATTATTAGTGTATTTATTATCCTTTACTTTTGAGATAGGTATTACTTGGACATTTTGACCTGAACCGCACTATTACCTTCAGCAGAAATGTCTAATGCTAGAAATCTTATGGGATTTCTGCTTTTTTTTTAATTAATTCTGATCGGGAAAGATTGATTTGGTTTTTTTTGGAAGATAGCATAGTTTAAAGGGTTTATATTGTTTTTCATCAGCTTGGTCAGTTGCTTCGATATTTGTTAAATTTTGATTTCAACGGTTAACATAACATAACATTTTGGCCATGTCCTATTTTGTGTGAATAACACTGATAATGTGCTGAAGTTGTGTCGCATATCTTGTCGTCTTTTTCTACATTAAAATGCATCAAAATGTGTATTTTTGCTAATACCTATTTGATCAAACTTCGTTGATATGATGCTGATTGTTACATTTGCTTTCATGTGCAAAACAGCTATACACGTATCAAAACTCCTGTCAAAGGTCGATTGTGCAAACATCTTCAAGTGAGTGGTCCATGCAGCTATACACATATTATACATATGTGCATTTTCTCCTATTGATGCCTTTGGTTTCAAATTTATGTTTCCAAGTTCCTACATAATCAACATGTAACAAGCTTTTGAGCCATGTAAAATTGTTCTGCGATCTATATGCATCTTGCTTGCATGTTGGTTTTTAATGGGACCTCTGATCTTTTTGACTTGTGCACTTATGCCACTTCCCTTATCTGCGCGAGTGCTTTACATGTGCCACTTCAAGGTCACATGGTTTCAGATTTTTACTTTTGACAGATATTTCTTATGAGTTCAGGTTCAAATTTTGATATTTGAAAAATATTACTATGATTGTTCATCCTCAGGGAACAGAAAAGAAATTAAAAGAAACCTTTATGTCCACTATAGGGTTTGTAAAGAAGACAGGAAAGGCTAAAGGAAAAGTTTTTTCTATGCCCCACCAACTGTTCTCTTGATAATAGTTGAGATTTGAAGGGGGAGTTGAGAAATAGATAGAAGACACTAGATTCTGTTATCCTTTATATACTAAATTTTCCTATTTAACCTAACAGTGGTAACTAACATACAATATTTCACTGATTGTTAATTTATTTGCTCGGGAACTTGAGATTCAAATACTGTCTAGCTCGGATAGTTGATGAAAAGTTAAGTTATTCTGTAATTGGACGTGGAACGATCTAGCTTTTCCTGTTCTGATAGTTCAATACTGTCTTCTAATTTCAATTTTTTTCTTTTTGGTGACTTAATAGTGTTTCGACTTCAGTAACTTTGTTGGTATAAATTTAAGACGACCTTCATGGCGCTGCCCCCACTGTAATCAGTATGTCTGCTTTTTGGACATTTGTGTTGATCAAAATATGATTAAGGCAAGTAGCTACTTATTTGCATTTTCCATTTTTATTTGCGTTATGTTTTTCTTGTATTGATAAACCAGTTGGTTTTCTCCCCTAGGTCCTGAGAGAGGTAGGAAAGAATGTTGCTGAAGTAATAATCTCCATGGATGGATCATGGAAAGCTGTACTGGAGAATGATGATG